TTTTGTATTATTGTTTCAGCGCCTGATACCTGTACTATTAGGCGTTCCAGGACTATCCATTCTTTCTGGGACACCCGATATACTTATCACCCTATCTCTTTCCTCTTCTTTCGGAATTTCTATTTTATTTAACTCACACGTCTCCACACTCCGAAACACGCTTTACAAATATTCCTTACATATCCTTAAACTCATAACTTTATTATTTAGAATACAGCCATTCTCGACTGGCAGTTCTTAAGAATTTCCAGAACATTTTAATATTTGCCCGGAAGTTATCCGATATTCTTCTATCATTATTATCTGTTCTTTCTCGCTTTTTCTTTTCAACTACTTCTTCACTCTCTTATTTAGATGTCTAAAGTCTGGCCTTTTTTTCAATATCATCATTCGTACTGTCAGGATTGCTAGCCTTTGTTGCTAGTAAATCTAGCTATGCCTTCTTCTTTGCTTCAAATTCCATGCGTACCTTATCATCCCACCATAATGTATAATTTTTTTTTCATTTTTTCTCTTACTAACACCACACACTTCAGTAGCTGCATTCACCAAAACTTTTTTAACATTTTATTCCATGCATTCTCCAAGTCTAACTCATTCATACGCAAGTGTCATCCAGACCACTTATATTTTGTCTCAGTCTACATTTTACAAATTAACTGAGACCCAGTACTTGTCTTTCACATCTTCATCTTGTAACCCCTCTGTTACACGGTAACACAGTGGTAGACACAACGTCCGACGCCGCCAACGACTGAATAGACCATTAATTCGGCGTAAGACCAAGTAATGATCCGTTCCTATGTTGAACCCCCGGTAAACCCTTGTATCTACCACTGCGCTCTTCATTCTTTCATCCACAATTATATAATCTATCATGCTTCTATCATCCCCTCTTTTCCAAGTATACATGTGAATCTTTTTATGACGAAAGAAAGTGTTCGTTACAAAAGGATTCTTTTCCACACATATGGTGAGGAGGCCGTTCGCATTTATACTTCATCACTAAACGTTCCCAATATCCCTTCATAACCAAGCCTCTTTACCCCAACCCTTCCATTAAAATCTCCTAACAATATATTCATTTCCCTTACATTTCATTAACACCATCCTTACATTCTCCCTAAACTGCTCTCGGATATAAGTGGTCTTAGACATGTCTGCGACGTAGACGCCTATTACAAACAACTACTTTAATCCCACTTTCATTCGTATCCATAGCAGTCTCGGGCTTACACATTCATACTCTTTCACACATTGACCCATTCTTTCTGAAATGGCTGCTCCTTGCATGCTCGCTCGGTTTCGTCTACACCAGACCAGTACGCGGTATACATGCCACGTGTAGTGACATCCTTTCCTTTCCTTACCGCTTCGTCTCATTTGTACATAATACATCTATTCCCCTATCATACATCATATCGCAAACTTCATCTATCTTATCATTCATTGCTCCACATACATTCAGCGTAGCCAGACGGACTTCTGCGATCCACTTTTCGTCCATCCGGAAGACAGAACGTGACGGGTGGCGAACCTCGTCATCGGTTTCCCTCCCGGAGATTCTTCGTACCCCCGCCCCATTAAAGGGGCGCCGGTAACTCAGGCCATTGTTTTTCTCTGGTGCCTCATGGTGTGAAAGTATGGGCTGGTATATTTTACGCCACTACCACACGGCGAGTAGCCGAGTCTGTACTTTCGGCTTGTCGCTCATTTAGCACCACCCGGGGGCACGTGTATGGTGGGCCTAGGATTAGGTGGTCGAAGCCTACGGACGCCTGTGACTTATCCCTAACAAGCATTTACTGAAGAACCATTAGAATTAAAATATTTTTAAGTAATCGTAATTATACGTATGTATTAACTTTGTGTTAATGTATACAGGGTTACTGGTAACTCGACGTATTCCCGCCAAGGCGTGATAGTTGGGGTCATAACCTATCAAATGAACCATAAAATGCATTATGCAAATGTGGACCAATTTCGAGATATTTAGGTTTAATTATTTTTTTCAAAAATCCCAAAAGTCTGGTGTCAAAAGTTTCTAAAAAAAACTTACAGCTGTATTATTTTCATTTTATTTTTATTACTTAATGAAAACCTGGATACTTATTTATCAATACTACAGTGTGCAAAAAGTCTCATTATTTTCGAAGTAACGCTACTAAACGTACAAATTTTTCCAAACAGAAGATAATTAATTAAAAATAAAAATGATTTTGTGAAAAATAATTGTATGTGACCAATTGTGCAAATCATGTTAAAAACATCCCTACTTATCTAGCTACCCAACGAAGTATCAATTTAGCTTGTAACTTAAATGGTACAGAAAAACTTGAAAAAAGGGGTCAGGTAGACAAGTTCCGAGTAGCAATGTTTTGGGTAATCTCAAACAATCGCTTCTCGGAATCTTATCAACAGCTGCGGGAATGCTCGTAAAAGATTGTGCGTTTGAACTTACGCTATTGTTTACATTTAGTGTGAAATTAAAAACGTGACGCTGGCAGGCCACGTGGCATACCCCGTATACCGCGTGCGGAAGATGAAGAAATTTTGAGTAAATTTCAAGAAGATCCAACCACTTCCACGAACATAATTGCTCGTCGCTTAGGTGTATCGCAGTGGAAGGTCTGGTCTACTGTGCATACTGCGGGGCTTTATCCGTACCACTACACACCAGTACATGTGATGGAAGAAGGAGATCCAGTTAGAAGATTGGATTTTTGTAGATTTATGTTGAACGCAGATGCAGAAGATCCAATGTTTTTTAGAAAAATATTGTGGAGTGATGAGTCGAAGTTCGATCAAGACGGTATTACAAATTACCATAATTTACATTTTTGGGCTCCAAAAGAGCAAAGATATCCTGGAAAAAAGAGACCTTCTAAATCACAAAGAAGATTTTCACTAAATGTTTGGATGGGGATTATTAACGACAATTTAATTGGGCCTTATTTTCTGCCAAACTATTTAAACGGCAAAAATTATGAAACATTTTTAAGGGAGGACTTATCCGGATTTTTACACGATGTTCCTCTCGCCACAAGGCAAAACATGTGGTATCAACATGATGGGTATCCTGCGCACTATCGTGTAACTGTGCGACGATGGCTGGACGAAAATTATCGACATCGGTGGATTGGCAGAGGAGGACCAATTCCATGGCCAGCAAGGAGTCCTGACATAACACCGATGGATTATTATGTCTGGGGGCACATAAAGAGCATCGTGTACTGCGACAATGTGCCAGTGCCGACCCTTGATCAACTGAGAGACCGCATTATCAACGCGACAAACGACATAAGACGAACATTAACCTCAAACGTTATTAAAAGCGAATTAAGAAAACGAATGCGTGTCTGTATATGGAATAGGGGCACCCATATTGAGCAAAATTTGTAAATCGTGTTAAAATAAATAAAGCTAATTTCAATCAAGTGCTTTGTTTCATTTCCTTAATTAATATTGGTTAAAAATAAAACACAAATTCCTTTGGTTGCTTAGAACTCGACTACCTGACCTCATTCTTTAAATTTTTTTTCTGTTTCTACACAAGCAAACTACAAAGTTGATACTTCATTAGGTAGCTAGATAAATTATTTTTCACAAAATCATTTTCATTTTTAATTACTTATCTTCTGTTTGGAAAAAGTTGTACTTTTAGTAGCGTTACTTCGAAAATGATGAGACTTTTTGCACACTGTAGTATTGATAAATACGTATCCAGGTTTTCATTAAGTAAAAAATAAAAATAAAATGAAAATAATACAACTGTAAGTTTTTTTTTTAGAAATTTTTGACACCAGACTTTTGGGATTTTTGAAAAAAAATAATTAAACCTAAATATCTCGAAATTGGTCCACATTTGCATAATGCATTTTATGGTTCATTTGATAGGTTATGACCCCAACTATCACGCCTTGGCGGGAAAACGTCGAGTTACCAGTAACCCTGTATATAACCATATATATATATAGGTATATTTATACATATGTATATTTAACGACTCCGTGGCGCAGTGGCTTAGCAATGAGTGGCTGCGCTGGGGGTCGCGGGTTCGTCTGGTGTGTCTGGATGTTTGTCCTTGTGCAATTTATGTTTGTAAACTGCCCCCACGATAGGAGGGAGAAACTCCTAGTGTAGAGGTAACGTTCTTAACTATATATATATATATATATATATATATATATATATATATATATATATATATATATATATAGTGTGTGTGTGTGTGTGTGTGTGTGTGTGTGCGTGCGTGCGTGCGTGCGTGCGAGCGTGCGTCCGTGCGTGCGTGCGTGCGTGAGTGCGTGAGTGCGTGCGTGCGTGTGTGCGTGTGTGCGTGTGTGTGTGTGTGTGTGTGTGTGTGTGTGTGTGTGTGATTTACTGACAATATTATATCGTAATCTGTTTTGTTAGGTACATATAATGTGTGTTAATTTTATTTTCTCTTTTTATTGCTACACCTACGGCAAACTCTCACCACATGGGTTGACCGGTAGAGAATGCCTTTGGGCATTAAGTCCGCCCTTTGTATCATTTTTTTCTAAATGGACGCAATAAAAATTTTAAAATAAAAATCAAATATGTCTATCAAATAAAGTAAATTTTGACAATTCAGAGTGGGGCTACAATAATGTTATAGTATATTACAAAAACTATACATAACTGCGCATGTGAATTAATGTGACACAATGTAACAAGTGTTTCGATGGTGATATATCCCTTGAGATATTATCCTCATCAGATGTCTTTTGGATTGAGCTGTCTTCAAGTTATATCAATGAGTTCTTAATGTGATGCACCAGCATATTATTTTTAAGAGTATTGTAACTAATACACAAATTAAATTAGGCTGTATGATCTACGACTTTTGCTTGCCTTAATTGGCGAATCGAAATAATAGCAATATATTTTCATTTTTCAAATGTTTTCAATTTACTATATTTTGAAATTAGATTTGAAATGAAAACAACAAATAAACAATGTTTGTACTATCTGAAATGAAAGACGTTATTCGGGTAACTCCTGAACACTTCCATCAAAGTTTATCTGAATCTATTACAACATTGTTAAATAGAAAACTAGCGAATAAGGTACAAGTTTCCATATAACCTATAATTTTGTAGCAAAATATTCCATAACATTCCAATGCAGTTCTTGCTTTCACTATACGATTATAAAATATATAAAACTAATTATATTCATAAAATACAATAAAAAACAAATAGTTTTTACTCACCAAATTTATTTTTTAATTTGGTTATGATTATTTGGAATTTTAACAATTAATTGTTATTGTGATAAAGTAATGCCACTAAAAGTAAAATGGTTTCTGTAGCACTATAAAAACCTCACCATATTATGATGATCATATGATCAAAAAATACTTAATTATAATTACGACTAACATATAAATAAAAATACTTATTCGTCCGACAGTTATATTTTAATTTATTTATGGTTTACGATTATATTATCATTATAATATATGTGGCTTTAGGGTGGACCAAGGGTAACTTCATCTGCACCTTATACTACTGTCACTGATATTGCAAGATTAGTGATTTTTTTTATTAGATACAAATAATAAGTATCAGAGTATACAGTTAAAACTGTTTATCACAACATCATTTAGACCATACGGGTTATATTGACGAAAATAATAAATCCCGGCTGAATTCTATATGATCACCTTGCCTTTTACAACATTGCTTATTACAACATACTCTATTATGTGACTTTATCTAACTAATATTTTCCGAGAATTGTATCTGTATTGTAAACAATTTGAATAGGTAACAGTCTAACAGTATCCATATCGGCACAGTCTAATAGTCAGTGGCTGTTAAGATCACAAAAGTAAACAAAAATGTTTGAGTAGGGCCTTTTGTAATTTTCAGAAACAAAATACATGTGCAAGCAGTATAATCAAATCCCGCTTTCTCATATATATTCATTCAGTTTGTTACTTATCTGTGAACAAGAAGTACCAAAGCATAATATAGTTGAATTAATTGTGAAACGTTAAACATGTTGCAAAGAAAATGAAAACAAGTCAATATTGAAGAAAAATTACATATTTTATCAAAACTAGAGAGTGTAATTCCAAACAAAGACTTGCATAAAAAAATGGTGTATCACACTCAACAATTTCAACCATTTGGAAAGAGAGAGAGAAAAAATTCAAACACTTCTTGACTGCATTTTTTTGAAAATGAAACAAGCAAGAATGACAAAGCATAAGACAGATTAGATTGTAAGATTCAGGCAGCTATGTTAAAGTGATTCAAATATCAAAATGGACCAATTATTCAATAAAAACTAAACAATATTGCTCAGTGTTTTGGTGAAGATTTTGTTTGCTCGTCTGGTTGGGTAATTTGCAGGCTCGCCACTGTATCGTCGGGGGGAAAAGAGTGGTGAAGCTGCCAGTGTAATAGTGTTGCAGAAGAATGCATATCACAAAAGTGGCCTATGTTATACAAAGGCTATGGACAAGATGACGCAGTTGATGTGACTGATAATAATTAGGGATGGGCTGAATATGGATTTCACCGAATACAAATATGGCCGAACATTCGGTAAAATTTTTACCAAATACGAATATTCGGCCGAACATTCGGTAAAATTTTTACCGAATACGAATATTCGGCCGAACATTCGGTAAAATACATACATAAACACTCACGCCTGTCACCCAGAGGGGTAGGCAGAGACTACGGACTTCCATTTGGTACGATCCTGACATACCTCTTTCGCCTCCTTTACATCCATATATCTACGCATACATGCTCGTCGGTTAAGGGTACTTCTAACGTGGCCCATTTTCAAAATATCGCCAATTTGGTCGATAAACTTTTTCCTAGGGCGTCCCTTCCCGACTCGGCCATTCACATCTGCCATATAAATTTGCTTTGTCACTCTTTCCTCATTCATTTTTTCTACGTGGCCAAACCACCGAAGCATTCCTTTCTTAATCCTGGTCACAACATCATCTTGCATACCACATTTATCTCTTATCACGCAATTTCTCACCCTGTCATTCAGATTACACCCTAGCATATTCCTTAAAGATCGCATTTCTACAGCATTTATTCTACTTTCGTGCTTCTTCTGCCACACCCAGCTTTCACTACCATACATTAAAGTAGGGACTAACACAGCATTATGAATTACCATACGTGCCTGTTTTGACAAATTCTGGTTCTTCATAATAGAGTGTAGTGCCCCATTCACTCTATTCCCTGCATTTACTCGTCGTTCTATATCCCTATCATATCTACCATCCCTGCTAAATACACATCCCAAATACACAAACTCATCCACTTGCTCAATCAACTCTCCTTCTATTCTTATTTCACATAGCGTTTTGCTTTCTTCTCTTTCAAAAACATTCGGTAAAATTTTTACCGAATACGAATATTCGGCCGAACATTCGGTAAAATTTTTACTGAACCGAATATTCGGCTGAACATTATTCGGCAGGATTACCTCGGTACCTAAGCAATTTATGTCGAAACTTGTTATAAAGCGCGCGGGATTAACACCGAACCCTACGCCTCGCTCTCCCGCCACACCTGACATGTTACTGCATCATCTAAAGCAAATTGCTGGCACATGCTTATGTTTTGACTATTTTTTGAAAAAAAGTATTTCGTTGTGTTATTCTTAGTAAAAATTGATAAGTATATAATGAAAATGAGTGGCAGGAGATCTACTATTTGGACCTATTTTAGAGAAGCTGACGACTTCAATGTAATGTATCTTTGTTTGATTCCAAACAAAATTTTATCAAGCCTTCTATTTGCTATAATTGGAAATAAATCTACAGTGCCTCAAAAACATAACGCTATATAAGTAGATTTAAACCATAAATAAAATATACTTTCAACAGCAAAATTATGAAAGACATGGCATTACTCAATTTGTACATTTCTATACAGTGTACACTTTAAGTACGTCTTTAACTAATGTTCGGTGATTTAGCCGAATATTTGTCCGAATACGAATATTCGGCCCACCTCTAATAATAATGAAGATTTTTTACATACATATTTATACATATACATATTTTTTACAGCTTATATTAATTTTATGCTATATAAGCTGTAAAAAAACTGTAGGCATTGTAGCGCAAAGGTGAATTATGATTATTTCAAAAATACATAAAGTATAGAATTTTTCTCTAAACAATTGTATCAATAATCTCAATTTTCAGGTTGTTTTAAATGTTGGATTATGTATTGCACTCTTTGATATAACATTTATTGGACACTCATACATTTTTCCGGGAGATGGTTCATCACATACAGAAGTAAAGTTTCGCTACATTGTATTTAGACCTATTGTTGAAGAAATCTTAATAGGTAAAATAAGAAGTTGCAGTAGAGAAGGAGTGCATGGTAGGTTATGGTTAGCTATTCTGTATCACACCAATAATATCCCTGTATAAAACCTATAATCGAATTTAGTTTCAATATTTTATTAGGGAGAGATCATATTTTTCTTAGTGTATTCCTAAAACTATATTTTTGGAGAAATTAGTTGTTTTTGAGCTAAAACTGTTTTAAATATTTTTTATTCACATAAAATGTACATTTTTCAAGGTTTGAAACACACTGTGGCATTACAGAAAAAAGGGCATCCTATTTTTTTAAATGTAAAATTATATTGTGCCTTTTGTGTAAGTGTTTACATTTGTAATATAGTAGATTCCGTTTTTTATGATATCCTATATATGATACAAACAATATACAGGGTTATTTTTCAGAGTAGCCAAATTTTAAACAAGTTAAAATATATATACGTATACCGTTATTGCAGTTTTTGAAAATACGAGTAAATAAGGCTTCTATTTTTATTTGAAATTACCTCAAATTGAATGTGATTTGTGGCTAACAAAGTTTTTGCCTACCTATCGACTCTTACGAATGTGTGCAAGTGCAGTAAAATCAGTTAAAATAATGAATTACCACACATTTTGAATTTAAAAGATTAAAAATTTCTTCACCATTTGCCTATATTACTTATTCTGAACTTTCTCCGCAAATTTGGCCGGATATTGAAAATAACCCTGTATAATTTATAAAATTACAGAATCGCGTTCCTCAAAAATTGTAATTTAAGATTAAGATTATTTGGGGGTGAAAAATTGTGCAAACCAGGTTACATGTTTTTAGGAATTTTTTTTGACTTTGTTTTCACGCACAAAGCAACAAGCTTGAAGTATCCGCGCGAGGGTAATTTCGCTACTAAGCCAACAGCCTCTTTTTGTATACCCCAAGGCTTTCCTCAAGCCTGTTACATAAGATTCTAGTTTGAGTAAAACAGGCGGAACTAGTTGACGAAGTGTTAGCAAGACAGAAATCCTCTTTTCAGGTAGTCTAAAATCACCACGAGCCATAGTAATATTGACTCAGTGTATTTGCTTTAAAATTAGGATTATCATTCTTTTTTTTATTTACATTTCTAAAATTTATTAAACTCACTAAAGCCTTAATTAAAAATCAAGTATAACTTAAACTTAAAAAGGATTGGGTTATCAGACGAGGCGAATTTCTTTTTAATTCTACCTTTATTTATAAATTCAGCCGCTTCAGTCAGTCTTTGTCGTAGCTCAGCTACATTTTAAAATGGGTTTTAAATGAACTTTTTCTCTGACGGCTCCCTAGTAAAATAAAAGACTAATGGATTCAAAACAGGTGAACGCGCTGGCCACGAGATTGTACCAGACCGCCTTATTCATCTGTTTGGGTATTCTTCATTGAGATATTCTCTCACTGTGCGGGCGTAGTGCGCTGGGCAACCGTCTTGTTCGTAGTGTCTCGAAAATGGTTAGTGGACGCGGCTTAGAAGGGAAATTGAACTGTAGTTATTCAACAGAGCATTGTCACTATCGAGAGAACTATGCTCAGTGTGTCTCTGTGTGATTTACTTAAAAATAAGAATATCCGCGGTAAAATCAGAGTAACAGACAGCGTAACTGATCAGTAAACTGAAGTAGGAATAGGCCGACCATATAGCTCTAAGAACCGATAACCGATGAGGAAGAAAGGTTCTTGAGTGGCAACCTCATACCTCTCCCATTCATTCATTAGAACTTTCGCCATCAACGGACTTCAAATAGGTTCCGGTATGTGTATAAATAGGGTAATATGTATAGGTGGATTTGTACAGGAAACCTTTTATTACCGACATAGTTGTTATTGATATTTGATATGAATTTATTTTATTTATAGTTACCATTGGGTTCTTCGATGATATTTTAATACCGGTAAATGCATTACAACATCCTTCGCGATTTGATGAAACAGACCAAGCTTGGGTGTGGGAATATCCAAAAGGAGATGGTGAAAAACATGATTTATTCATGGATTCAGGTATATCCTTTTTTATTATTACACATAGTAGGACCACGCTGCAGCGATATTATAGTCGTAGCATGAATGGGTCAGCTCGACCGAGTAAGAACCACGCTCTCAATAACCAGCGTGAAATAGCAGCTAAATGCTGCTGTTTCTTATGGTGATTGTAGAGAACCAGAGACCCTTTTTGATGAAAATCTGGCATTCCATCTTAGTTCTCATAGGTGACAAGTGACAACGCACTGCATTTTGAATATTAGTTGAGGGTAAATGGAGATGCTTATGGGTCGCAGTATCTTGTTGGAGAACAAATGCAACGGCGACAATGGATGTACGATGGGGGCAGCGGGGAAGCACATCCGTATTGGTACATCGATCTTCCCAGCTCGCCATTCGCTCTACAAAACCCACCGGCGATAGACAATGCTATTATAATTGTAAATACCAGAGAATACATTATGTTGTTAACAGTCCAGTCTTTTTATTGATGTCCCTACTGACTAACAATTTTCTTACCATCAGGTGGACTGTGTCCTCTTTTATCACTCATACTCTATAAAATAAAAAGATAACATGAATTAATACCTTCAATATCTTGTAATTTAAAATGAATAATGCTTCAATCGTAACTTTGTAGAGAATAATGGTGTAAAGTCCAGTATCTTGGTTGCCTTTTGTGGTAATCTATTAAAAATTATAACAAATATGAACTTGTTCTCTTATGTATAGTGTATAGTTTCAAACGGAAAAGTTAGCACATTTTGTATCAATTTATATCTAGCAGTGTAATGGTGCTGTCCTGCGGATGTCATAAAGTTTACTATGAGAAATGTCAGGGAGATCTTATGACCTCCGATAGATGGCGGTAAAATTACATCTAGATGTAAGTTACCTAATCCGACGACGAGGAGTAGCGGCATTAAGACGACACACCGAAAAGGCTATCGCCGTACTGATCCGAGTGAATACATAATTTCTATAAAAACTTGAAAAAACGCCGTCATAAGGTCTAAAATAGCGTAGCGCCCACGACGATTAAAAGGGCTTAGAAATTGTCAGAATCTTAAAATATATATTTTAAAAAATTATTGATTTAAGTAATCAAAATAATGAGCAAGTAAATTATGAATATATTTGAGTGATTTCCAAGCATATAGATTAAGTGATTTCGTTAGAATTTCAACTATAGTGATTTTTTAGACAATTTATACTCTTTTTGACAATCAAATTCAAGATAAAGACATGAATTTACCTATATCAAAATTCCACTTTCGTTAGTGGTGTCATAGTCCTATACTATTCGATGAAAGGAGATGCATTTTTTTCACGGTGTCGCCTTAACCCTTCAATCCCCACAAAAATCCCATGCAGTTGCGTGCGTCCGTCAAATCCCGAGGGATCGCATTCAACCGCACACACCCACAGCACTTTTTTGACTTAGATTTTCACTTTAGAGACTACTTTTCTATGAAAAAGTTGGGCATAATAAAATCTATACAAAATTCTCTATCCTGTGGTCTAAATAAAAGTCTGGTTTTACTTCGTTACAAAAAGATTTTATTGTATTTTGATAACAAAAAACATACCAAGCGGAGTGAAAATCACAAATATTTCCATATATTACTCGAAATTATTTAAGTAAAAAAGATAATGATTTCTTAAATTTACGCGAACACTACACATTGAATAAAACTATTATTTACGGATTTTATCGCGTTTAATTACTTTAATTTATTTTTATTATTATCCCGACATTTCGGGTGCTTTACAGCACCCATGGTCACGGGGGGGACTGAGATGTTTGACGTCCCAATGTCATAGTTAGTCCGGCTACCTTCATTTGATAAACCACAAATTCTCGCAAAAGAACACCGATTCCTACCAAGGATGATACGCGAGGCTATTGAAATTAAAAAACATCCAAATTTCAATAGAGAAGATGGTTGGGTGCTACCATCTGCTTGGGATCCTATAATTAACAAAATTAAACCAAAACCCAAGCATACCACTGCAAGACTTCATGATACTATAAGCTCGTTTTGCGTAAATCGGACCAAAAATTAATATTAAAAAAAAACTGAAGGTAGCCGGACTAACTATGACATTGGGACGTCAAACATCTCAGTCCCCCCCCCCCCCGTGACCATGGGTGTGCACCCGAAACGTCGGGATAATAATAAAAATAAATTAAAGTAATTAAACGCGATAAAATCCGTAAATAATAGTTTTATTCAATTTAAAAAAGATAAATTATATTCACACAAAAACTTTCATTACAATTTTATAAAAAACTATATTAAACACTAATAAGACACTAGACTTGACTAAAATCCAAAAATCAACACTATAACATTCACATGAAAATGGCATACGAAATGAACGTAGATTATAAATAAATATCCATAGACTAACTGACTTTTTATTCCACTAGAGGATAGAAAATTTCATATTGATTCTATAATACTAAACTTCTTCATAAAGAAGTAGTCTCTAAACATAAGTATTTATGGGTTAAAATGCTGTGGGTGGGTGCGGTCACATTTGACCTCTTGAATTTTGACGGAATATCGCCGCGGTCGAATTTGGATGCTTGGTAGCTAAGAGGTTAAAGGCGCATAATATTTACTATCAACTCATCTGTAAATCTATAACCCTCACGCCAGCGACACGACAAATCTTCTCTAGTATGGGAGTAAGCCGAAAAAAGATTGACAATGCGACAAGTAATGTTGCAACCGCTCCTCTTTTCCCACTTGCTTATTTAACTCAAGTAAAATTAACAATAGTCAAAATTTTAGCTTTTAAGCAACGACTTACACGTTGACGTGACGGCTAGCTCTTGGTCTATAAACAAAAACGCAGAGAGCTTAATAAAGAATTATGCAAAAGATCAAAAAACTTCGACATCTAACTTATCTACTAGCGAAGTCACTATCAAAAAGTAAAAACGGACTACAAATGCTAAAAAAGAAGTTATTTATTTGCTACCCTTAGAGATGGAATTTTTCCCCTGAAGTATAACCTGGTATATAAAAAAAGAATAATCAAAATTGGTTCACAATTTGCGAAGATATCTCGCGTAACATACGTACAAAAAAAAACACACTCGAATTGAGAAGCTTCTCCTTTTTGAAGTCGGTTAAAAACTTTTTTTATATAGGATAGGGTGACAAACGAGCACACAGTCCACCTGATGGTAAGTAGTTGCTGTGGCCCATAGACATCCACATCTATCCTCGATTACGAATCAAAATTCAGATACGTTGTCGTCACCCGTGGGGACTAAAATGGAATGCCTCGTTTCCAGTAAAAAGGGTCTCCCGTTCTCTACACTCACCATACGAAACACAGCAGTATTAAGCTACCATTTTATGCTGGTATTCTGTGAGAGCATGGTCCTTCCCCGGTCGAGCCGACCCATTCGTGCTACAACTATACTTCTAATATAACTGCAGCATGGCTCTACCACGTATAACCCTTGTACTCCTCTTGTCTTGTGTTACCACTGGAACCACCAGTTGTTGAATAAAGGGAGAAAAGCAGATGTGCAGTCACAATCACAACTAAAAAGTATTTTTTTTTTCAAATCCAGATGCTTAGTAGTTGATTGATAACGTCGCCGTGTGTAGGCTTTTAACTCCCTTGCAGGTCCAAGATAAAGCATTATATTCTTATTATTTTAGGCGAGTCAATTAGGTTTCGAGTTACAAGTGAAGCTTTTGAAGAAAGTTTACCAACTGGACCTCCAGGCACTGAATGTCCCGTTCAAACTATTGCCCCATATAAACTGATAGGAGGCATAAATGAGCCAGGCTTAGGCTTATTATCTTGGTGGGAATCACAAGAACAGGACGAAGATGGAGATGGCGATGACAATGAAGAGCAAGAAAATGATGAATAAACTTGAGTATTCTATAAAATGTAGTTTTTAATTTCAAAGTATAATGAAAGTTTTAGCACTAGTAGTCAATTTTGACTTAACCCTATACTTGGCAGGATTTTTTTTCGTAAAATTTTAGTTTTTTTTGTATAACTGGTTTAGTTAGGTTCTAAATGGTACGGGAAAAATGGAAATAAAATTCTTGCTTTTGTAGTTTAAGAGATATTTATTGTATCTTCAAAGATACCGTGCCAGATAAGCCACAGATCAAATAAAAAATGGTTCGTATCCCAAAAGATACTCTGCCGGGTGCGTAACAAACAAAAAAATAAAATTCTACATGCAAATTAATTACTTAACTTTAAAGTTTCTTATAGTATTAAGTAACACTATTTTAGTTTAATTAAAAACAAACCTACTTTTTATTTCTATCGCACAAATGAATCATAAAGTATCATTGAATCACAAATGGTTGGGGTCAATAAGTAATAAATTGAATTGTAAAACAACATATAATTTAAAATCTCAAAACCTTACAACAGATTCTCAAGACAAGCAAATAAATTTTTATTTATGGTGGCTACAACCCCGAAATTGTGACTAATTTAATTAATTCCAACAAAACAAAGGTTTCCATTATCTGAAGTTACATGTTGCATCTTATTAGATAAATGACATAATTCAAATTACTAAGTATTTAGCATACATCCTAAAAAATAATTTAGTATGAAAAACATTAAATTTCTTTTAACATTTTTAATCATAGTCACAGCTCAATTTTTGAGATCAGTACCTGAGAACATTAATCATTATGAATTGCCACATTTTGCATATAGTCTTAGAATTTAGGTATATCAAAAATATATTATTTATTTATTCTGTATGAAAAGCCTGGTAACAACTGCGCTTTCTAACCGAGCAAACTTACATTATATTTTTGACAGAAAACCATTATTTGTACCAATTTGCAAAAACGACATCTTCCTTTAGAATAAAATGTTGGTAAATGATCTATAACGCACATCATCGCTAGGCCTCTCAACTGTTGGCTTAGGATGTATGATTACAGCTTTGTCATGAATGCTGTTTTTCTTCATGCATGGTCTGCAAACTTGAGTAGACTTTTAAAAACTTCAAATCGATAGTATTTCAAGCTCATCGACTTTACAATTTTTTTCCCTCGTCGGTATTAAATCCATGCATTGTTAATGCAAATATCGAGCAATAGGAAGAAAATAGGCAAATACCAGGGATAACCACGTAATTTGTTCATAAACTATCACATATCCGCAGACATCCTCCCATATTAGTGTTATATATTCTTTGATCAGACGAGGACATGAGACTGGCAATCTTTTTTTTTGGCATCTTTGATATATCGTGGCACCGTCTCCATAGGAAAACATAAACATAACAGCTGGCTGCAGTACCGCATTTATTATTATTCCACTTGCAAGCGACTACTTTGTTTTTATTACAAACAACTTGAGCGTGAGAGCCCCTGCCCATCTTTTTCTGATTTTTGTCAGTTGTTAGCTTTTCTTCAGTACCTCTTAGTCGGTTCGATCTTATTGTACCCAAGGAAAAGATCCCATATTCGTTCCTCAGATGACTCTTCTTTCTCCGTAAAACTATGGAAGCGGAATGTGTCTTCCCCTCCATATACAAAAAAAATCATGTCAGATAATAAGTGCAGATTTTAAAGAGAAGACTGCAAAGATGGTGGTGGAGAACTGCTGTTAGAATTGTCTGGCGGGACATAATTCTGCATTTCATTCACCAGATGATTCACTACATTTTATATCAGATTTGGCTCTAATGCTCTATCAGGTTTTGGAACTAAAGCCAAAAGTTCTGAAAAAAAATCTGAAAAAGTACGATTTAGTCAATATTTAATCACACAGGCGAGGCCTCAGTGAGCAGCTAATCATTTCATTCGTCATCAAAACAAAAAAAAAATTCTTAAGTACTTTGCGGATAATCTGGTAGCGTATCTTTAAAGATACGGCCAAGTTATAAGGATATATGCAGGCCACCTGGCAGTGTATGTTTAAAGATACTGTTGCGCGCCTAAGTTGACGTTTGGCACTAGCGCCATCTAGTGTCGGTTAACAGAGCGAAGAGAGCTTTCCAGAAAATGACGACTAAGCTTTCTAGAAGCCCCACACTTGAACTTTCTGAGCCTGGTCAGCGCCCGTATTTACTAGAATATTCTGGATGTTTCGATGGAAAATGTGTATTTAAAGCCGCTGCAACCCGCTATCGGGGCAGTATTGAATTTGGCGATACGAGCGAAGCTTCGGAGCGAAACAAAGTGAATCAGTATGATTAATTATTAGTGTCTTTTAAGTTTTAATTGGTGTAAAGTGAATTAAAATGTTAATTTTGGTAATTCAATCGGCAGTTAATATTATCACGAACCCTAAGCTCGTAACAATTGGTGTCAGAAGTGGGATCAAATCATGGCGATTTTACCTAAGGAGGAAACGGAGGGTGTCCGTACCCGAAGTCAACGCCAGCAGGAGACGGACCAGAGAAGGTTTGGTGGTGCAACGCCGCAGACGTCGGGGGGCCAACTGCCAACCACGGAAGCTGGCCCGTCAGCAGCCTCTACACCTGCAGCACCTGACTTGGGTGCTCTCATGATGATGTTGCAGGAAAGGGCCCGCCAGCAGGCAGAACAGGAACGCCGATTGGAAGGGCAGCTGCGGGGCGGACAGGAGGAACAGGCCCGTTGGTTGAAAGAGCAGCAGGAGGAACAGGCCCGTTGGTTGAAAGAGCAGCAGAAGGAACAGGCCCGTCAGTTGAAAGAGCAGCAGGAGGAACAGGCCCGCCGACAGGAGGAACAGGCCCGCCAGCAGGCGGAACAGTCACGCCGATTGGAAGAGCTGCTGCAGGGCGGACAAGAGGAACAGGCCCGTCGGTTGGAAGAGCAGATGCTCCTCATGAAGGACTTTCACGCTACCTTCGGGAAGGAGGTTGCTCAACATGACAACCACCTGTCGGAAGCTGAAACCCGAATCGATCAAGTAAACAATCGGGTTGACAACGTAATGGCTGACATGAAGAAATCACTGGACGAACTCAAACTTGGGGATGGAACTACAGCTCCCGTAGTAGCTACAACACCTTCCCTACGTGGATTCAAAGTGCCGCCGTTCGACGGGACTTCTTCCTGGTCGGCCTACAAAATCCAGTTCGAGGCCGTCATGGAGGCGAACGGCTGGAATAAAATCCAGGCCATGACTGCACTCACCCTAGGCCTGCGCGACCAAGCCTTAACTGTGTTGGAAGCTCTCGGTAAGAAAGTGACCTACGAGCAGCTCCTTGAGGCATTGGAGGCGAGATATGGTGACGCTCACCTGGAACACGTCTTTCGCGTGCAGCTTGGAAAGATCGCGTGCAAATGCGCAACAACGAAAACGTGCAGCAGTGGGCCCTTGAGGCGGAGAAGATGGTTAGACGAAAAGCATACCAGTCTGTACCTACGCTCATTGAAGGGAAACTGGTGCAGACATCGACGGCATCCCCGACCTTAAAGCTGCTGTGAGGCTCGGGCACCACGAGACGCTTAAGGACGCCTTGGCCCATGCACTAGTGGTTACAGCAGCGACGGTTCGCGACCGCAATAAAGGGTACAGACCTAGGTGCTATGGCTGTGAGGAAAGGGGCCATCTTCGATCCAGCTGCCCTAAGCGAACCGTAGAAAGGGAAGGTGAACGATATCAGGAGAGTGGTGCGGGTGCTGGCTGATGTTATTAGAGCCCCAAGGGTCTTGGTCTCACAAACCCATGATGGGAACAGTCTAATCAACAAGGGCGAGATCAACGGAATGCCGTGTAAACTGACCATAGACACTGGAGCCTCTCGCACGGTTGTTAGTTCCCAACTTATAAGACAGTTCCTTGGGGACTCCGCATACAACCGAGAACGCATTAATTTGGTAACAGCCACCGGTCAGCGTATACCCGTCCGTGGAGAGAAGGAGATGGAGTTGAAGCTAGGCGGCAACTTGATCTACCTGCATAATGTCATCGTGGCTGATATAATGGACGACTGCATCCTGGGCCTAGACTTTATGAGGAATAATTGTTGTGAGATCGACGTTAAGCAAGGTGTTTTGAAATGTGGACAGGAGGAACTTTTTATGGAAGGTGCGTTACCAGGGAACGTGTACAGCATTAAAAAGATTGTTCTTCCGCCGAGATCGGAAACGATTGTGCCGGTTAGTCTTCCTCGGAAGCCCGGGCGAGCTCACCGTTGTGTACTTGTGGAAAGGGTAAACAATGACCTTCCATGGAAAGTAGCTCGAACCTTGGTCAGAACCACTGACATCTTAGAAGTACATGTGCTGAACCTTTGTGACCAGGAACAGATTAAAGAAAAAGGCACACTGGTTGGTACTTGTGAGGAAGTGGATTGGTTACGTCGGTGCCAATATCTATCGAGTGGGACCCCCAGCAAGGGTTCACAAACGAGAGTGACCACACTTTTGGAAGACTGTCGCAGCGTTCTCTCCCCGAACGAAATGGTCAAGGCGAAGAAGTTGTTACTCAAGTACGCCGATGTATTCTCATCAAACGATGCTGACATAGGAAAGACTGGCTTAGTTCAACACAAAATAAACACAGGAGAAGAATTGCCTAGTCTGCCTCCTCCGTCAGCGGCCAAGAAGATTGCCGGTAGCACGTGAAAAGGAAGTGATTGAGGGAATGGTGAAGGATGGTATTATTGAACCTTCATCTAGGCCATGGTGTTCACCCGTGGTGCTGGTAAAGAAGAAGGACGGCAGCATGCGGTTCTGTGTTGACTACCGCCGTCTGAACGACGTTATAAAGAAGGACAGCTATCGCTTGCCATGAATTGATGACACGCGGGATATGCTTACAGGAGTAAAGTGGTTTAGCACGCTGGATCTAAAAAGTGGCTACTGGCAAGTTAAATTGACCCTAAGGACAAGGAGAAAACTGCGTTCTCGACGGGAAAGGGTCTGTGGGAATTTAAAGTAATGCCGTTTGGATTGTGCAATGCTCCAGCAACGTTTGAAAGGCTGATGGAGCTTGTACTTACCGGGCTAATTGGCGATGCCTGTCTGGTCTACTTGGATGACATCATCATCGTGGGCCGTACGTTTGAGGAACACCTTCAAAACCTGTGCTTCAAAACGCGTGCTCATGAAGATTCAGAGAGCCAACCTCAAGTTGAGTCCGAAGAAATGTTCGCTATTCAAACGGCAAGTCAACTTTTTGGGATATGTAGTGTCGGAAGAAGGTATCCGCACGGATCCGGAGAAAATCGCCGCTGTCAAGGATTGGCCGGTTTCCAAAAGACAAGACGCAGGTTAGAGCATTTTTGGGTTTGTGCTCCTATTATCGGCGATTTGTGAAGAACTTTGCAGATATAGCCAAACCTCTGCACAAGATAACCGAGGAGAAGCGATATTTCTGCTGGGATTAAAGTTGCAATATCGCATTCCAGGAGCTCAAGGACCGTCTGTGCAAAATACCTATTTTGGGATACCCTGATGCAGAAAGAATTTATAGTTGACACAAAAGCAAGTGATATAGGACTTGGCGGTGTCTCAACGGAATGGTGACCAAGAGGTCGTGATAGCGTACTTCAGCAAGTCGTTGTCAAAACCGGAAAGGAACTATTTTGTCACAAGACGCGAATTGCTAGCTGTGGTAAAGTCGTTGCAGCATTTTAGCAAATATCTTCTGACCATGCTGCACCAAAATGGCTATTGCAGTTTAAAAATCCAGAAGGACAAGTTGAGGGGTAAATTAAACTACTGCAAGAATACGACTTTGAAATCGAACATCGCAGCGGGAAATCTCATGGCAACGCAGATGCATTGTCAAGAAGACCTTGTTCTGAAGATTGCAAACATTGTACTAGGCAAGAGAGTAAGTAAGTGGTATCCGTGAGGATGCTCAGGACAGACCACCTCAACAAGGAGTGGAAGGACAGCTTACAACATGCACAGCAGGAAGATCCGGACATCAAGCCGATTCTGCAATGAATGAAGGCCAGTGCTCCCAAGCCCAAGTGGAGCGACGTCTCAGCGATGAGTTCGACCACTAATATCTATTGGGCCCAGTGGGACAGCTTGCTGCTTCAGGATGGAGTTCTGTGCCGTAAATGGGAAAATGTTCGAGGAAACAGCCGACATTTGCAAATGGTTGTCCCTAAAGCTAAAGTACCGGATGTTCTACAGCTGTACCATAATGTTTGTTCAGGAGGCCATCTGGGAGTTAAACGAACTCTACTGAAGATCCGAGAACGGTTTTACTGGGTCCACTGTCGAAACCATGTCGAGGACTGGTGTCGCAAATGTACAAGTTGTGCGGCTGTAAAGGGACCTCATACTCGTAGTAGAGGTGCATTGAAGTCGTACAATGTTGGTGCACCATGGGAGAGAATAGCCATTGACGCGGCGGGGCCGTTTCCGGAGAGTGAAAGCGGTAACAAGTATTTCATGGTTGTGATTGATTACTTCACTAAGTGGCCAGAAGTCTTCGCCATTCCAAATCAAGAAGCTTCAACGTTGAGAAAGTTCATGAAGTCTTCTGTCGTTTTGGAGTACCGTTATGAGATTCACAGCGATCAAGGAAGAATTTTGAGTCTCAAATATTCCAGAAAACTTGCCGAGTTATAAAACCGGAGTACCCATAAAACAAAAACGACTTCTTATCACCCGCAATCTGATGTAATGGTAGAACGATTTAATCAGACATTGGAGAGGTACCTAGCAAAAGTTGTAGACAATCGTCAACGAGATTGGGACAAGCACATACAACCGTTTTTGTTGTCATATCATTGATGTGTTGTCTCATTTCACGAAAGTACAGCAGTGACACCAGCTTTCGCAAACTTTGGAAGAGAATTACGGCTGCCTGCAGACCTGATCACCGGGATACCACCTGATGCCCCACGCAATATAACCGATTATGCAAATGACTTGCGGTAAAAAATGAACGACATTTATGAGCACGACAGACAATCGGGCCAGAAAATGTCCGAAAAGATGAAAACCCGGTATGACCGCAAAATGAACAACAAAGGGTTCGACGAAGGTTCACTAGTGTGGTTGCACAATCCAGTCCGCAGCAAAGGGAAATCTCCTAAGTTTCAAGCTAAATGGGACGGCCCGTACCGGATTGTGACCAGGATCAACGATGTAACCTACCGGATACAGAAAGGTGCAAGAGAGACTCCTAAGATCGTCCATGTGGATCGCCTGGCGCGTTATTATGGGGCCAATAATGCTCGGGACGAGCATGTCTTAGGAGGGGGCAGTGTTGCGCGCCTAAGTTGACGTCTGGCACTAGCGCCATCTAGTGTCGGGTAACAGAGCGAAGAGAGCTTTCCAGAAAATAACATGACATCTTTCAACGGACAGCGCCATCTAGTATCGAAATGAAGAACTAAGCTTTCTAGAAGCCCGACACTCGAACTTTCGGCACCTATTCGATTGGCGCGCGTATTTATTTGAATATTCTGGATGTTTCGGTGCTAATGTGTATTTAAAGGCGCTGCAAGATGCGATCGAGGAAGTATTGAATTCGGCGATACGAGCGAAGCTTCGGAGCGAAACAAAGTCAGTGTGATTAATTATCAGTGTCTTTTAAGTTTTAATTGGTGTAAAGTGAATTAAAGCGTTAATTTTGGTAATTCAATCGGCAGTTTTTATTGTCACGAACCCTAAGCTCGTAACAATAAGATTGAAAAACGTTAAGATATAGCCACTTTGGAAGCAGTAAGGAACCTTAAAGTTATTTACATAAAGAGTATATTGTTAACAATAAGGTCACACTCTTAAATCAATGAATTATTAGTTAAAATAATTAAATAAATCTAACTTTTGCCTTGCTGTGCGTAGGGCGCGACGTCCGACATTTTGCGCGATATTGACAAAATTGTGTTATCAGAAGCACAAAATCAATTTCCTACTTTTAGATAAATAAATGAAGATTATTATTTAATAGAAAAATATTATACAAGTTAAAAAGTTTAAGAGCAGGATTTTTTTGAAATCGATCGTATCCTACAGTTCACCGTGCCAAGTTAAGGGTGAAATCATTTTTAAGCATTTATACTACTCTGAAGGAGGATCATTTATCCTGAATTTTCAATCCATCCTACGAATTACGAATAAACAAGTTTTCAAAATAAGCTAAAGTGGACTACATTTTATTGTGACTAAATTTAATCAACAAAGGAATTATGTCCTCCGGCTTTAACATACAAACTGATGTCTTATATTTTGTCTGTTATAGGACGATTAACGTTATAGGTTCACCGGAAATTCTTCACCACTACATTGGAAGACGTTTCCGGTGAATGTATCACCCGATTTGCAGATGATAATATAGAAATTACGGTGGATTTGTTGGAGGAACTCAGCACTATGCTCAATGATCTTAATAGTGTCACCGTCTTCCAACGGATAGGTCTAGAAATCAACATGGACAAGACAGCTCATGTGTAACATCAATTACACAATTATGCTGGTCGTTATTAAGAGCACTGCGATCGAAGTTTTCAAACATGTGGCAGAAAATACTCTTAAAATAAATAAGACTAGAAGATAGAAATAAGATATCCGTCCTCGTCCGTCCTGGCACAGTCCTGGCCTCTCAATACATTTATGAAAATGTAATGTACGTACACAAAAATAAAAGTAGTTTTGCGAAAATAAGTGATATTCATTCTGTAAATACTAGGAGCAGACACTAGCTAGTAGTACCAGTTACTCGACTCCACCGAGTCAGTAATTCATTCTTGGGGCGATGTATACGCTTTTACAACAAAATCCCAGAAAATATACAAAATTTGTCATACACAAAGTTCAAAAATGTTATTAAACTAAGTTTGTATAAAAAGGGTTATTATAATATTAAGGAATTTATGGATGATAATAACCCCTGGGAAGGGTGATCGCTACCAAGCTATTTCTAATTTGTCTTGTGTTGTTAACTGTAAACATGATTGTAAGCTATTATTGGAAAAAAATAGTCCCGCTGGGTTTCTTGCTGATTCTTCCCAGGACAGAGGTTTTTGTTGCGAACCAATGGTATAATGACTATATATATAAAAGTGACTTTCAATAAGTATTGTTATAATCTACATTGAATAAAAAAGTATCTGTTTCTGTCTCCGCCGTTAATAATTTGCTTTTGAATGGAACTAAAACTAAATGTATGAAATTCGTCACTCCTAATGTTAAACATGTCAATACTAATGTAATTTTAAATGGGGAGGAACTAAGTCTTGTTGATACCACCATTTTTCTTGGAATCACACTGGACGCAAAGCTTCAATGGCTCCCCCATATATCAAAACTAGCTAGCAGACTGCAGCATATGCTGTAAAAAAGATTAGAACTCTTACCAGTGTTGAAACAGCTAGAATAGTTTAGTTATTTCCATAGCATTATGTCGTATGGTGTTTTGCTATGGGGACACGCGACTGACACTGAAATTATATTTATTTTGCAGAAGAGGTCAAAGCAAAAACCAAAAGAGTCACTGAGACAAAAATTTAAGGAAATCAATATATTAACTCTGGCTGTCTAAATCATCTGGAGTCGACGACGGATGGCCTGTATTAGGAAGTAGGAGTAAACGAACCTTGTCGACAATAATCTTTGTTATGTGTGTTTACCCTATGACAGGTCTTCTCGCTTCGTATATAAGGTTCACGTTCGATGTTCCTTGTCACAGACATTCAAGTGCTTTCTGATTGCCTAGTACTCATTTGCTAAAATTTTTTGTGTTTTTATTTTATTGGTTTAATTTAACAGTATTAACTATTGACAATGCGATATCTGTGTTGCTCGATATTCTTTATTTTAATATCCGGTTCCGACTTTTTGCCGGTAGATGATAAGGATATCGATATTTTGATTCCAGATGATTTAGTCAGATATAAGATATTTCTATGGGGTTTATATCTGAAGAGATACCAGGCCATTCCAACACCTTTATCTGATGGTCATTTAGAAATTTTGCCACTTTTTTTGCTTTATGACATGGGGCTGAGTCATGCATAAACAGGAAATCCTTATTAGGAAACCACTCTGATGTCTGTGGGATCAGTTTTTCTGACAGAACTTTAATGTACTGATCCTGCCGTATGGTGTTTTCCACTATGTAGAGGCGTCCGTTACCCTTTGCACTGATAACTCCCCAGATCATTAGGGATAGCTTCACTCTCTCTACAATACAGTCTTCTTTGAATTTCTCATTTGATCTCCTACGAACAAACTGCGTATGGTCTTCCAAGATCTGGATACTCGACTCTTTAGAGAAGCAAACCTAGAAATCCCAAACATGATCAATTCACAATAGTAAAGACATGTCCATAAAGTGATACAATACAAAATACGAGTACGTTTAAAATACAATATATTACTTTATGCCAGTCTTCTGCAGTCCAGTGTTTATATTTTTTTGCAAACTCTAGGCGTTTCAGACGCATGGCAGGAGTCAATTTCGGCTTCTTCAATGGTCGACGGCAGGAAAAGTTTTGTTCCTTCCATCTTCTACGTAACGTCATGTCGGACAGAGTCACTCCAGCCTTTTCGAGAATATCTCTAATGACTTTTCTGGGTTTATTCCGATTTTCTATGGTTATTTGCCGAATTTTTCGCTCATCTCGAGGCGTAGTGATGCGTTTGCGTCCACATTTTCCGGAACGTTTCGGCGTCATGGACTCCCCTTGTTGCACAACTTTACTGATATTACGCACTGTAGATTGAGAAACCTTGCACATTTCTGCTATTTTCCTTTGAGAATATTTACAGTGTTGTAGCAAAGTCTTCATTTCAGTTTTTTTTTTTTTGGAGACACGTCAGAACGCCATCTTCAAATGTATTGAAAGTGAGGTTATGTTGATGAAAAAGACGAATTTTTAAATAAAATATGTATTAGACAGCAAAAAACAGCGAAATGCAAGAAGAATAATAACTAATTACAAAGTAAAACTAATAAAACATACCTTTTACTGAATAAATCCTTCACACCAACCTTACAGAAATGTAAAATTGACAACGAAACAAAATCGCGGCTATTACAGTGTTGCCTAGTTAAAAATAGAAAATTTTAGTGTTGTAAACTATAAAGCATAAAATTATTAATCATTTTCAATTTATTTGATTGATCTAAAACCGTCGTTGTAATGTATAATTGGTTTTAAATACTAAATAAACGGAATAAATATGTAGAGTATAATAATTTGAACACTGTACATAGATTAGTTAAGTGGGAAATAATAGGAGCCAAGTCATTGACTGTCAATTTCATGAAGTCATTGGGGATATTGTCCCAGCTTGGAGCGCTGTTTGATTTTAAGCTTAAAATGATATTTTTAACTTCTTCTATGTCTGTATGTAGTAAAACAAAGAAGTGTTATGGCACCGGATTGTTTTCCATAGGTCTACTAGGTGTCACATTGACGTTCTGTATTTTACTGGCAAGTTGCATTCCTATATTTACGAAATAGCTATTTATGAAGTTTGCAGATTCAGTGGGCGATGACTTTAAATTGAATAGTTCAGCGTTAGTATTTCGTGATTGATTACTGTAATATTTTTTTATATATTTCATAATAATTTATTGTTATTTAAAGATTTAATAATGTTTTCTCTATCATATTGCCTTTTCATTCTTTTTATTAAACTGTTACAGTAATGTCCTGTATCGTCTGTATGTAACGCGAAGAATGTCATTATGTGGGTCTTTTCGTAAGTTTTTCTGAAGTGTATTTCTGTTTCTTATACAGCGTAAGATTCCTGCAGATATCCATGGTTGTATTATTCTTTTACTGCATGGGATATTAGACACTGATGTATTTAGTTTAAGACTTTTAGTAATTTTATCTATTAAGTTGTTAGTTACAGCCAATGGATCGTTACAAAATAATAATTCTAAGTTTTTAGTATGTAGGTACTTTAAAGCATTTTCAAAATTTGTAGTTTATTTAATTTTATTATCTTTTAGTTGTATTTTTGATTTAGAAATTGACAGGAGCATAGTAGAATGATCCGGAAACGGCACCAACGATTTTCATAAAATTTAGTGTCCAGAGAGTTTCGGGGGCAATAAATCGATCTAACTAGGATTTTTTTAGAAAATGTCTTTTTGTCCGTGTATTTAGGCAATGAAAAACTGCTACAATATCGTTAGAATAAGAAGGTAAATTTTGACAGTTTATTAATGATTACAAATAGCTTAATTGGTATATTAGGCGGTCACAAAATCGTAATACCGTGGTTCGAGCCCAGACCGGACCGACCAGTTTTTTTAATTTTTTTTTCGAGTCCCTTTCTTTTTTGAGAAAATCTATTTTTTCGAGCCCGTTTTTTAGTATTTTTTAAAAACACGAAAATTTAAATTAAACTAATTGCACTCATGATTTTTTATTCAAATAACCAGTTCAGTTTTTTCTATTATGTCGCTAAGATCAAAAAATATTATTCGTATTTCATTAGTATGTAATTTGTATCTAAAAATAATTTCCAAATCACACGAATTAAAAAAAAAACGAGAAAAAAATACCGAGCAAAGCTCGGACAACCGGGTACTGCCCAGCTAATATATCATAGTTTGCAAGCATGTCTAAGTAGTACAGTGTGTTTTTATATTCCTGTGGTCGTTCCGTAGTTTGAAGCCTAATGTTTATATCAATATCACTTGTTATTATAATACTGCTATGTGAAGGAAGTGACTCGATATGAGGATGTAATGAATTTAAAAAGTTTTCAGCATTTGGATTCGATGGAGACCGATAAATGCATAATACAGTGTTATTAAGAACATCTACCTGCAGGCATGATGCTTGCTGTAATTTTAGCTCTTTTACTTTGTTTTTTGGAGATTTTTTTATATAGAGAACCACACCATCATTTTGGTTCAATTGGCGTGTAGTATAGTAGACTTCTAATTGTTTAGTTGCGGGAGCGGTTTGTTTTGGTTTATAGCCTACACTCTGTAAAAGTAATCATATCAATTTCAAATGATAAAGTTGAAACGGTTAGTGTAAAATCGTAAAAGTTTTTATATATACTAACAATGTTTTGTGCATAGTATAACATTTTTATTAGAACTATATGTAACTTACGAGGGTGGATTGAAAAGTACTCGGCCTAACACAGATCCATTCAATTCTAAAAATCAAATCTACCCACAATATTTAGTTCAGTTCAGACTAGTTCATTGTGTGAAGTTCGAAACGTGTGCGATAATTAGTTGTGACTTTATAAATTTATTAACAAAGTAATCGGACATAATTTCCGCGAATGGAGCAAATCGAGCAGCGTGCCGTCATTAAGTACCTCCATAAGAAGGGGCTATCATCAAAAGCCATCCATGATGACATGGTCAGTACATTAGGCGATTGTGCTCTGTCATATTCATCCGTCAAAAAATGGATAGCAGAATTTAAGCGTGGTAGAGAGAGTGTGAAAGATGAACCCCGCTCTGGAAGGCCTTCGACGTCAACTACTGACGAAAATATTAAAAAAGTACTTGATTTAATAATGGGACACCGCAGATTAAAAATTAGAGAGATAGCCGAGATTATAGGCATCTCTTATGAACGAACTCAAAACATCATTGTCAACGAGTTGGGTTTCCACAAGGTGTCTGCGAGGTGGGTTCCGCGACTGCTTTCAGTTGAACAAAAAAGGACGCGATTGACTATTTCACGCGACTGTTTGGAGTTATTTGAAGCCGATGCAGATGATTTTTTGAATCGTTTTGTTTCTATGGACGAAACATGGGTTCATTACTGTACACCGGAAACAAAACAACAATCAAAACAGTGGAGAAAACCTGGTTCACCACCCCCTAAAAAGGCTAAGTCGATTTTGTCGGCAAATAAGGTGATGGCTTCAGTATTCTGGGACTCGAAAGGTGTGATTATGATTGATTATCTTGAAAGGGGTCAGACTATAAACTCTGATTACTACTGCACCTTACTACGTCGTTTACGAGAGGAAATAAAAGAAAAACGTCGAGGAATGCTCAGAAGAAGTCCTGTTTCATCAGGATAACGCCCGTGTTCACACGTCAGTACAGTCAATGGCTGAAATTCACAACTGTGGCTTTGAACTGTTACCGCATCCGCCGTATTCACCTGATCTGGCACCATCAGACTTCTTTCTGTTCCCTAACCTAAAAAAGCACTTGGGAGGTCAAAGATTTTCGACAAACGACGAGGTCAAAGCAGCTGTAGACGCATATTTTGACTCTAAGGAAGAATCATTTTTTTTCAACGGTCTAAATGCTTGGAAGGGGTGGTGGCCAAAGTTTATTGAACTTGATGGTGATTATGTAGAAAAATAAAAATATAACTGATTTAGTATGTGTTTATTTTCTTGGTTAGGCCGAGTACTTTTCAATCCACCCCTCGTAATTATTGTGTTTGACGATTTTAACTTTTAACTAATTTTTCGGCAACCAGTTTTTCTTTTACGGCTTGTCCTTCGACAAAGGCCTCCTCTAAAGCTTTCCATTTTGTTTTGTCTTTAGCAGTGCGTGTCCATAATGGACCAGCTATATTTTTTAAGTCGTCTTCCCAACGTTTAGTTTGTCTACCTTTGTTTCATTTAACAATCTCGCGGGTACCATTCCGTTACCAGTCTCGCCCACTTTTCTGTTTCTTCTCTTAGCATGTGGTTTGTCCATCTCCATTTCAGGCGTTTGTAGCCAGAATGTACGTTTTTAATTTATTTTTGTTCTTTTTATTTAATCTTACCTTGTCTTTTCTTTTAACTCCAATTACACTTCGATCCATACGATAGACATGGAAAGATACACGTATTATAAATTTTCCTTTTTTCTTTGACGGGATGTCTTTGTCCTTCGGGACCTCGCTCAGGGACCAAAACCGTTTCCAAGTGTTTGCTATACTATCTCTTCTCTTCTATCTATTTCTTTATGCATTGTGTCTTCTGTAGATATTAGTTGAACCAAATATATGTACTCATCGACATACTCTATTTATCCACCATGTACTTTAATGTCTTTATTGTTTGAGTTTGTCATTACCTTCGTTTTCGATGTGTTCATTGAGAGGCCTGCTTGGTGCTTTCATCTGATAGTTGTTGTAGCATGTCTTCTATATTATCTGGGTTCTCAGAAACCAGAGTAATATCGTCTGCAAAACGTAGATGGTTAAGTTTGTCACCGTTAATGTTGAGTCCATTTCTTTCCCATTCCAGGTTCCTAAAGATCATTTCCCGAACCACAGAGAATAGCTTAGGTCAAATGGGGTCCCTCTTGGGGGTACCTCTTTCGATAGAAAATTCTTCTCATGATCTTTCCAGCTTGACTTGGGCCGTACGCTTTGAGTAGATGTTCTTTTTCAACTATTCTCCCATGTGAGATCGTTCTCCTTATCTCTACACTTTATGCATATTTCTTTGTTTACATTTACATACCCCGATATATTACTTTCCTCTATACATTTACATGTGACACTGAACTAGTGTCTCCAACAATGTTTTAACACTTTCTTTTCTTGAATGGCGGTGGTGATAAGTCCTGAAACGACTTTTTACTATTGTTAAACATTATTAGTTTTAAAGTGACACAGAAGTGATGTTTACGTTACCAAGACTGGAACCGGAACTTCCAGAAGATACTTTTAAAAGTATTTAAGTAAATGCACTGTTTTAATACATAACGACTTAATGTTATAGAATATTCATGGGACGCATTTTTAGTAAATACAATATTTTTACCATTATAAATGAATTATGCAAATCAATA